GCTCTGGGCAGGAACCTCAACTTAAAAAAAAAATACTGTGTGTGTGGCCACCAAAAGGAAAGAACCCCAAGAAAACCAGGCCACCCAGAGGCCCTTTGGGGGCTGCCCGAGCCGGCCCGGGATACCCGGGGCACAAAGTCCCCTAGCCAGATGGGGCTTGCTGGGCTGTGGTCCTCTGACTTGGTTCTGTGGCTTTAACAAGGGGAGGAGGAGCTGCCTGCTGAAAAACCCCGGGCTTCTCCCAGCACTGCCCTGGGGCTTCCATGGCCACCTGCCCCTCTGATGCTCCCGCGGCCACCTGACCCTGGTGTGCTCTGGACGGCAGGCCTCCATCAGATACATCGGCCCCCTGACCCTAGAGGGTGTGGTCCTAAACACGAGTATCTGGTGGTGGGGAGAGGCCCAAGCTCTCAACCTCCCCCACCCTGGGGAGCTCTGCCTCAGTTTCGCCATCTATGAAAGGAGGCCGCCATGACCAACACCACACAGCCTGGGCCCATTTTTCTCTCACTGTGCGTGCCTGGGGTCCCGCTCTGCCAGGGATATTTTGGGCTTGATCCAGTGAGAGGGGCCCCTGACAACTATCACTTCATAACACGTTTAGAACACAGCAAACCCCAGGCCTCCCGGCGAACAAGGTGAAAGAAGCGCCTCGAGCACACTGGACTCCCCGCTGGGCAGCACAGCCATTGCCCCCGTTCCTGGCCTGCTCCTGCCCCGGCGCAGGCTCCGTCCATCTCTTAAACTTGCCCCTCAGTGGCCTCAGGCTGGGGCCACTCTCTGCAGCTGCCTCCCGACTCTGGCGGCTCCAGGTCTGGCTCACGTTGCCCAGGCGACGCCCCTGCCTGCGCTCCCGCTGGCCTCTGCCGCGCATCCCACAGGTGACTGGGATGACGGCTGGGAACCGCTGCAGACTGGGCTTCCCAGGCAGCAGACCAGGGTGTGCGGAAGCTCCGATGGTGCGGCCTGTGCGCTCCCTGCCCCAACAACGCGGGGACAAGGCCGGCAAGCCCTCACCCAGGGCCCACACAAACACACAAACATTCCAGGAGGAATCAAAAGACACCTCGCGTGAGGCTCGGTCCCTGTGCCGTGCCTGCCAGCCCCTTTAGAACCAGACCCTATGTCAGCCTCTCTGTGCTCATGGCTCTTGGCGTAAGCAGAATCTACCCTGAATGTCACTGAACGAGGCGGGAGCCTGCTTTCAGGTCCCGTCCTGGGGACGCCACAGCCCTCCTCGTGTCTAGAGGCTAAGTCCCTGTCAGAGTCGTGGGCCTGGACCTCCCACCAGCAGCTCCCCTGCAGTGAGCCACTGCTCCTGCTCTGTCTGCGGTGGGCGGGAATCCCGCCATGTGCCTCTGGCTGCACATGGAGGACCAACCAGGCCCTGCCGCCCAGCCTGCGGGAAGGTGGCTTCAGTGAACGACAGACAGCTGCAGGTGCCTGTGAGGCTCCCATGCACCTTGCTGGGTGCAGGCTGGTAACCAGCCCTGTCTTCAGCAGAAGCCACTGGGGCCTGAAGGCCTCAGCCTCACAGGAGGAGGGACTGACTGCCGGCTCTGCTACAGCTTTGGAAAAGCCTGGGCCCCTGCCCACTGAAACCTGTGTGCCCGGGGCCAATGCCCGCATGTTCTCTGCTGTCGCTGGGCTGAAGGCCGAGCGCGCGGAGCTCTCCCAGGTGGGGTCACACCAAGGGTCCTGCATATCCCAAGGAGGCGCTCGGCACCCCTGTGCCTCTCGGGGAAAAGGCCACAGGCAGCCAAAGCTGTTCCCACACTGGGTGTCGGCTGTCCCAGGACGGGGCTCCCCATGGATCCTCACCAGTGTAAGGCAGGTGGGAAAGGACTGGGAGTCTCCTGGCCCGAGAGCAGAGCAACAGGCCTGCTCCCTCCCCCCACCTCCAGCCAGGGCTCCCTCCTGCACCCCTCCCTGCCGGACAGCCTACACCTGCCAGCGACCACGAGAAGGGACAACACCCAAGGCCCCAGATGGGGGCAGCCCTTGAGGCCCTCAGCCTCAGGGACCAGGAGAGGACACACAGCCCCAGACCCACCCCAAGGCCCAGGCTGGACTGAGGCCACCTGGGGACGGATCCTCGCTTTGGCCCTCCCAGGGGATCCTCCAGTCCCAACCCCACCTCCAGCCTCACAATCACTGCAGACCCAGCCAGAGGCGCCCCGGGTGGCTGCCTCCGCCCACTGGCTCCCGCCGGGCAGTCACCTGGAGTCCCTCCCCGGGTTGGTCTTGCCGGCAGCCTCCTCGCCTGACGAAGAGTCATCCTCGTCGGACTCCTCAGACTGCAGGTCCTCCACCATGGAGCGCAGGGGTCCTGGGGAGGCGGGGCGGGGAGGGAGGGGAGACAAGGGCAGGGCTCCGCTGAGCCTCCAGGGTCCCTTGCCCACGAGGCCACACAGAGCTTCTTGACACTGGTGACCCCCAAATGCACACGCCAGCCCACCTGGGGGTCCCTGTGACCATCTCCAAGAACTGCCCCCACACCGGCAGCCACCCCCTTCCCCAAGAACCCCCTGGCTCCCCCATCCCTCCCTACCTTCCTGGCCCTGCTCGCAGGCCTCAGGGGCCTGGCTGGCAGTGGGCGCGCAGGGCCCCTCCATTGCCGCAGCCGGAGGAGAACCCCTCCTCTGCTCAGGGCACAGAGATCAGAAGCTCTGCCGAGAGCCCAGGGAGGGCGACGGAGCCACAGCCCGGCTTGGAAGCTGGGCCTGGGGCCACAGATTTCTCTGCCTGCGCCCTACGCCGGCCTGCCCACCCCCTCGATAATCCCCTCTGCTGCTCCCAGTCCACCGTCCTCCCCTTTCTCCAGAGGCACACGGTTCCAGTCCCCTACAGACGGCATCTTGGTTTATATTCCTGTTACCAAGGCAACAGAGGGACACAAAGCCCTCAATTACCTTAGTCACATGATCCCGCTTCAGTAGGTCCCCCTCCCTTCCCAGCAGATAAGAACACTTGGAGCGAGTGTGGGCTTCAAGGGCCCCATCCCCCAGCCCCCTCGGCAACTGCACGGCTGAATTCCAGGCCAGACTCCCTCCACAACCCCGTACACTCCTCTCCCCCAGCCCCCCTGGCAAAGGATTCCAGGCCAAGGGGGAAGGAGGCTCCTGTTCCAATACAGGAGTGGAAACGCTTCTGGCCTGGGAGTGGGTGCTGGGGTCTGGGCTGGGGCTCGGGGCTCAGGGCAGCTCTCCCGCTGTGTCCTGCAGGCTGCCTGGTTTCCACGGCCCTCCCCACTCTGGGGCAGGCTGGAGCAGGCCTATGTCCTTTTGCCAAAAAGCCTTCCCTACTGAGGGTGGCCTGCCTGGAGAGGGAGAGGGCACGCCAAACACTCCGGCAGCAGGAGACCCCGGCCGTCCCCGGCCTCGGTGACCCTGGGGAGCGGGTGGGATGGGTGGAGGAGGTGATGCCGTCTGTCCATGGTCCCCAGCAGCGCAGGGAGGGTTCTGGCCATGGGCAGGGCCCTCACCAGAAGCCCCTCACCAGCCTGGCTCCAGGCACAGGGTGCATGCCAACCGCCACCACAAGGAGCAATGCCCCAGGCCTGGCTGTAGATCCGGTTACCTGTTCCTGCTTTGCTTTTAAATATAGACTCTCCCAAGCCACCAAAACTCTCCATGTACAGATCTGCGCGGCCCAGCCTGCGCAGGCAGCGGACACTGAGGAATGCGCATGCAGCCTGAGCTCCAGGCCCTGCCCGGCCCCATCCGTGCCCCCTGGCTGCTCTCCGTACACACCTTGGCTGTGGTTCTGAGATGGCTCGAAGTCCGAGTCTGAGCTGGAGTCTGAGCTGGAGCTGGAGTTGGATGGGCTTGACTGGGCAGACTTCACCCAATGGCGGGGCAGGAAGGGAGGGAGAGAGGGAGAGCTGTCACCTTTTAGCAGAGACAAAGGGGGCCCCTCTGGCAGTGGCTATGCTGAGTGGGTCTCCCCCAGACACCCCCAGGGTCTCAAGGGTACCCAGGTGTGCCACTGAGACCGCACTAGGGAGCCAGCGCCCAGGCCATGTGATGCCTACAGCCTCCCACGCCAGCCCTAGGACACCCCTAGATTCTTCCCACTGAGCGGTGTCTGGGTTTCCCGTAGCGCCAGGAGATCTTGCGGACCACGTGGGCTCTCCTGTCTACCCAGGCAGGTGCACAGGGGACTGGGAGGGAGGCTGGGGCAGGGGCCTGAAGTCCCACAGGCGGGTGGGCCTTGCCTTCGTCCAAGAAGGCAGGCATTGACTGGTGTCGCAAAAAGGTCTGGAACAGGAAAGCTGGGTGTGGACACTTCTTGTTCTGACCCAGCGCTGTTCTGGGGCTCAAGGGTGGCAGAGAGCTCTGTCTCCCCACCCATGTGCTGCTCCTACCACCAGCTGCCCGAGACACTGAGGAGCGTGTGTGCACAAGGGACAGAAGCCATGGGCAAGCCTGGCCAGACCTGCCTCCTCCCGCAGCCGTCCTTCCAGGCTCAGCCACCAGGGGGCAGTAAAAGCCACAACAAGGACACAAGGGGTGCGATGCCAGGGCAGAGGGTGGCAGTGCGGGGCAGGCGGTTATGGGGCGGAGGTTCAGCTCCTGGGTGGATGGGAGTCAGGCACTGCAGACACCTGCACGGGGAGGGGCCCACTGTTCCAGGCCCACATTTCTGCCAATGGGCTCATCCCAAGGGGTGTGCCAGAGGACGCAGCGGGCCCAGGGCAGCCCCCTCACCTTGGGGGCCCATCTGGTGGAACTAGGTGGCTTGAGCCCCTCAGACCAGTCCTCTCCAGGGTCCTCCCTCCATCAAGAGGACGCAGCTGGTCTGCTGGGTTCTGGCAGGGGCTGCTGCAGCCGCCAGCCATGCAAGGGAAGCCGCGAAAGGAGTGCTGAGGTGCTGAGCCGGTGGGACTCAGGACCTTGAGTGCCTGGGGGCCCCCGGCCCCTCCCCTAGCATGTGGATGAGGGGCCCCACGAAGGCCCAAGGCCTCCCCATGCAGCAGGTCCAGACTCACCCTTGCCTGAGAGGGAAAAGCGCTCTCTTCCCAAGGGTTTACTGCAGCCCACCCCAGCCCCCTCCTGCCCCTCAAACCAGCCCCTGCCAGCACCCCTCCCCACCAGCACAAGCCCGCCGTGGTGCCCATCAGTCACTGCCCACTCAGGCCACCTGAGTCCCAAACACATACCCCAGAGCGTCCAGGACCCCTGGCTGGGCCTTCCTGGAGCTGTGTGATGCACAGCCTAGACTTCTGTTCTTGGGGGCCAGGGGTGAGTAAGAGGCGACTGAGAGATGGCCTATTGAACCCCAGCCTTCTGACCAGCAGGCCTTGCTACTCAGACCAAGGCCGTCCCATTTTTCCCAGTGCCTCAGTTTTCCCAGCACTGCCAGCTGCCTACACATGGACCAAGGCTAGTCCTCCCTTGACCTCCGGATGGAACCCCTGGGGCAGAGGGGTGGGCACCAACCTGGAGGAAGGTGGACTGGGGAAGTATCCAAGGTCCCGGTCCCATATCCCACGCACTTTCTCACTAAGGGTGGGGCGGGCGGCACAGTTCAGGCAACCAAAGGAGGCTGTGCAAGGTCAGCAGGGATGGAAGCGGGGAGGGTCCAGAGCCCCGAGAGGCCTCCTAAGCCTGCCTGGGCCAGGAGTCCTGGCGCCGTGCCGGACAGAGGAAAGCCAGTCGGCAACACGTGCCCCCTTTCCTTCCACCCAAATCCAAGGGGCAGCGAGGAAAATAATCCAGAAATGGTCTCAGCCAGAAGAGGCCTGAGGTGGTGTGGTCAGAAGGGCCACCGGAGCACGCCCAGGGCTTAGAGGGAGGGCGGAGCAGACGGGGTCCACAACTGGCCTGAGGGTAGGCGGTACCGACTGACTCCAGATCCCCAAGGGCCAGGGAGACCCCAAGGCAGCAGCTGGAGGACGTGGGAGCTCAGCCTGGGGACTCGGCCCAAAGAGCTGCCCTACGAGGGTGGGCGTGGGCCGGACCCCAGCTGGTGCAGACTCCTCCGATGGCCGGTTCTGGTAGCACAGCCACACACAGCCTCCAGGAGGGGCGGCCCAAGACCGCCAAGGGGAAGCCGGGGGGCCAGTGGTCTGGAAGGCCGATGTGCTTCTTCACCACAGCAGCCTGGGCTTCGGCGAAGCCCCTGGGGGAGAGGCTGTCAGGGACTCTGTGCTGCTGGGGCCTGGGTCTCACTCCCGCACAGACCTCGGGGCGCTAAGCCGCATTGCTCAGAAGCCTCTCAGCACGCCGCACGCTCTTCTTCAGCCAGGAGGAAGTCCCAAAGCCTCCGCCAGCAACTCCAGCCTCAAGGCCACCCAGCCACTCTGAGCAGCAGTGTCCTAGGTGGCAGGAAGCTCCCCACAAAATATTCTAGCTGTTTGACAATACTGGTGGCGGGAGCCAGGAGCCAAGTCACTCACTGCTGGGGGCCAGGCTGGGTGGGCAGAGAGGAGCGGAGCGGGCCATGGAGCCACCTTGCTGCTGCCCAGCGTGCTGCACACCCAGCCCCAGGAGCCAGAACGCCTCGGCTGGAGATGCCTGGCCTGGAACTGCACGTCACCCAGTACCTATCCCTGACCTTGGGGTAGAAGAGAGGGGACAAGTACCTGCCCAGGGCTGTGGTTGCTGCCCAGGCAGAGAAGGGGGCAGGCTTGGTGCCCAGCAGGCACCACCAGGCCCTCCCACAGCTGAGAGGGCTACTGAGACGGCCCGGGACTTCCGGGAGGCGACACCGGCCCCCCCACCACCTCAGGGTCACAGCAGATGGTGCTGTCTTCAGCCAGGGCCAAGCCATGGGGAACACCGGGCACTCAGCCTTGCCTGCCCATGTGTGTCTATGAGGCAGGATGCACTGTCACCCAGAGGCTGGGCCATCACCCCTAGCCAGCCCCGACACCTCCATGAGGGCCCTGGGGGCAATCAGCGCTGCTCACATAACCCCCTCTGGCTTTGTGGCTGGGACCTGTGTTCAAAGCCCCAGCGGCTTTTCAAAGCCTCAGCAACCCTGAGGCAAAGCTTCCCCTTGAGGGCAAGCCAAACCCACAAAAGGCCCCTGAGGGCTGGGGCTGGCAATAGAGGTGAGAGGCCCAACCCTCATCCATCCATTCATTCATTTTCACCTGGCCCAGTGTCCGTTGTCTGAATGCCAAGTGCCAGATAATAGCGCTGGAAGACACCACTGCCATCCCAGGCCCCAAACAGGGTCTGGCCACGAGACCATGAGGTGATTACCGGCTCTTGTGGCTCAGGTCATGTCTGATGCAGTCCTCTGAGAATGTCCGGACGCAGTGCTGTGGGGCAAGCCCGCGGCCTCTCATGGTGAGAAGGCCGGTCCCTGAGAGGGGTCCTCGTTCCAAGCTCAGACACCGGTGGGGACAGATGTGAGCATCTCCAAGTCACAGCTGTATGTGATGGGTGTGGGCGGGAGGGATGCTCTTGACCTCACCAGCCACCTAAGAAGGGAGCCGGGCACGGCCCAGTTGCTCCTCATGGCTAGGGGCTGTCTGAAGTCCTCATCATTAACCCTCCAGACAAGGGTGAGTCTCCCAGATGCGCTACTGGCAGAGGGAGCACGCTCCAGGCTGGGCTGACCGCACCATGGTCAGAGCAATCGTGAGACATGCTTGCCCACTGGCACCAGAGCGGCCAAGACCTGGGCCCGTGCAGGGGGCTGCTGGAGGAGGGGAACTCAGAACCTTGGGACCAAGCCATCATGCTTTACCAGAACCACCCACAAACGCCACCTAGGAGGCAAGGAGGGACTCCTCATGAGGCAGACTTTTATCACCTGACAGACGGGGAAACCGAGGCCTAGTGACGTGTGGAGGCCCCAGGTTACAAGGAGCCAGCGGGAGGAGTGGCTGGTGAGACCTGAGGTCCGGGCTCAGATCCCACCTCCTTCCACTGTTCCAGAAGGGAGGCGGGTCCCACCACACTGCCGCACCTCGCTGCCCTGCCCCGGCGCTCACTCACCTCGGACTTGAAGGAGGCCTCGTCCTCTGAGTTGGACTCCTCCACCTCCAGGGCCTTTTTGGCCTCCCGTGGCTCACTCTCGGCCTTCACCTTCTCCCCTCTGGCGCTGCTCTTGTCCTTGGCCGGCTTCTTGTCCGAGAAGGAGGAAGAGGTGCGGGGCGAGGTGCCTGGAGCACTCCGGGACCCCTTCGAGCTGCTCTTCTTCTGCTTCTTGGCGCTGGGCTTTGGCGAGTCGGCGGTGGCCGGCCGCTTGCTGGAAGCCCGGGGCGGGGG